TAAAGAGCACAGATGTTTGTATTCTGTCAACTTTAATATCTGGACTCTAGAACCAAAGGACATGAATTCAAGACTCTCTTGTCCATATCTTATGGTATGGCTCTTAATTGGAAACATTTTCACCTACTACAAGTGCCTTATTACATCTATGCATCATTCATGAAAACTGTAGACTCTCTCATTAATGGAAACTTATTCACATGGAAACTCATAGATCATTTAAAATTATATGCTACTGAGTATTTCTTTACTACTTTATTTCTGAAGCATAGGTATGCATATTACATAACTAATTCTTCCAAAATCCCTGAGGTAGGTGGTGGTATGGGTTTTTTTTATAATTTTTTTTTTTTCTTAAGGGATATCTGAGGCATATCAGTGTTAAATTGCTTTGCCCAGGCTAACTTGGCCAGTAAATGTGAATCCATATTCAGTTTAGAGGCCCTCTTTTTTCTTTCTACCTGTATAGTTGTCACTTTGTAGTTGTTCATTCTGACTCATGGCAAGCCCATGTGCTGCAGTGTAGAATTACTTTATAGAGTTTCTTCAATATAATCGCTTCTTTTCTAACAATTTTCTTTTTGCTGTTTACTGTTGAGACTACACATAACAGACTACATAACAATTCAACAATGTCTACATGTACAATTCAATTACATTGATTACATTCTTTGAGTTGTTCAAGCATTCTTATCTTCATTTTCTGAGTTATTTCTCCCCCTTAACACAGATTTACTGCCCCCTAAGTTCCAATGTTGGAGTCCTGGTGTGGCGCTATGGGTTAATATGCTGGACTGCAAGGTCAGTTTGAACCACAAGATATGTGGTTCAAACTCACCAGCCACTCCTTGGAAATCCTGTACAGGGTCGCTATGGGTCAGAACCAACTGGATGGCACTAAACAACAACAAAGTTCCTATCTGGAGTCCTGGTGTGATGCTTTGGTTTAATGCACTAGAATGCAAGGTCGGTTTCAACTACAAGGTCGGCAGTTCAAGTTTACCAGCTGCACTTCAGAAACCCTATACAGACAGGGTGGCTAGGAGTCTGAACTGATGCCAAGGCACTTAACAACAAGAAGTTCCTGTCTAATCCTCGAATTGCTTTTGTCACATTGATTCCACATATATAGACTTTTTAGAGTAAAATGGCTAGTTATTCTTGACAAGTTACGCTGAACTAGTGTTTGCTTTTAAGAAGATTTGGTCGATTTTTGGTTGTAATTGTAATGGAAGCAGATCTGCCAGGCTGATTGTCCATGATACCCCTGGGTAAGTCCAAACCACCAACCTTCAGTTTAACATTGGAGCATGAGCAGTGGTGTCTGGAAAACGGAGACAATTAAAATTGAGAAGAAAATTAGACCCTAAACTGAGAAACTGAAATTGAGAAAGTGACCAGGTCCAAAATTAGCGAGGTAGACAGTAAGAATAATTTCAGGTTACAGATGTAAGTGCTAGGGGAAAGTTACTGGGAAATCTAATTTCAGGTAGGAGTTAATGGAAGGAAGGCCAGTAGCTGAGAGTATGCAGGAAAAAAATAACACTAAATATGGCAAATCTAACATGTTGTTGAGTCCTGGTGTGGCGCTGTGGGTTAATGCATCTGACTGCAAAGCTGTTTGAACTGCAAGGTCGGTGGTTCAAGCTCACCAGCTGCTCCTTGGAAACCCTATACAGGGTCGCTATGGATCAGAATTGACTCGATGGCACTTAACAACAACAACAACGTGTTGTCAAGTTCAGTTGAGTCAGTTCTGCTTTAGAGCAACTGTATAGTGTGTTTGAACCGCCTATCTTATAGTTAGCAGACATGCTTATCCTATAGCACCACATTGGGCCTCCAAGTCTTAACATGCTGTTGTTGTTGTTTTTGTTGTTGTTAAGTGCCATTGAGTCAGTTCCAAATCATAATGACCCTGTATAGAGTTTTCAAGGAGCAGCTGGTAAGCTTGAACTGCCAACCTTGCAGTTCAAACCAACCTTGCAGTCCAGCGCATTAACCTGCAGCACCACACCAGGACTCCAGTCTTAACATAAAGTGGTTTATATTTCCTGTGTTGAGGCCTAGGATTGTCTATTTATCTTTTGAGTATTGTGATTGGGAGTGAAAGTGACCCCTATATATCACCTGCTTTCTATTTGTTAATTCTAGTTAAGCCCTACCTGAGCCTCATCTACTGTTCTGTGATTTTATATCTATTTGTTTAAATAACAATACCTTTTCATTTCTTCACATTTAAAAATAGATGTAACAGTCTTTGGACTTCACTGTGAAAAAGACGCTCAATCTGAATATTCATTTTTCTGACATGGAGTAAATGGTTCTCTCTGTTGATACTCTACATGGCAAAACATATGTCAAAATATTTTACATTGAGGATACATAATTCTGTTTTGTTAAAAAAAAAAAATCCTCAAAGCTTGTTACAGATAGAGAGCAGTGCATTAAGTGGCTTAGGGGGAGATTCACAATGCCTATATAGAGTAGCTTTTTAAAAGCCTTCCTTTTTATTAGTGAGAACCGAAGCAGTTATGCTACTGTGGTGCTGTAGGATAAGCACTGGGTTACTAATCACAATGAGTCCTGGTGTGGCACTGTGGGTTAATGCACTGGACTGTAAAGTTAGTTTGAACCTCAAGGTTGTTGTTCAAGCTCACCAGCTGCTCCTCAGGGTCGCTATGGGTTGGAACCAACTCGATGATTTAACAACAACAACTAACACCAGACGCTCCTTGGAAACCCTGTGCAGGATTGTGCTATAAATGGAGTTGGAACCAGCTCAGCGTCTCTTGACAGCAACAAAGCTGTATGTAATTTTGTAATCAAATTTCTCAATCGGAGCGATGTAGTAGGTCATTTTGTGTGCCATATTTAGTATTTTCAGGTAGTGAAATAAGTTTAACTGTGTATTCTTCTTTCTAAAGTCAAAGAACACATTTGTTGTTGCTGTTATTGTAGGTTGTCAAGTTGATTCTGACTCATAGTGACCCTGTATAGTGTTTCCAAGGCTGTGCGAGTGGAAAGCCTCATCTTTCTGCTGTGAAGTGTCTGATGAATTTGAATAGCTGACTGTGTGGTGAACAGCCTAACATACAGCCCACTAGGCCACCAGCGCCCCTTAGGAACACATTTAAAGGGAAAAGTATGCTGAATACTTTGGGTAATCATAAGGGTGTTTTTTTTGTTTTGTTTTGTTTTTTTACCAATTTCTTTAGGATTAAAGGTAAAATGAACAAAAGACATAAAAAAATGAAAAAACAGGAAAGATAAAAATGTTGAAGACAGTTTGGAGGTGTTGTGGCACTTGTGAGTTAATGCGCCAGACTGCAAAGTCATTTTAACTGCAAGGTCGGCGGTTTAAGCTCACCAGCTGCTCCTCGGAAACCCTATGCAGGGTCGCTATGGGTCAGAACCGACTTGACAGAACTTTCAATAACAGCTCTAGTAATTCATTATTTTCATTAATAAAAAGCAAACAACCATCTAGATTTCTAGATTCATTTTCACAGAAAACACAGATGGCTTAGAAAAGAGAGGGAGGCAATTGGCCTTGTAACAAAATTCCTTGATCCACTTTCACTAAAGCTAGAATCCCCACATATCATTTTATGAATTCCACATATCATTTTCTGAATAGCTCTGTGAGCAGGGGACCACAAGGTTGGTTTGAACTGCAAAGTTGGTGGTTCAAACTCACCAGCCACTGCTGGGAAAGCCTATGCAGGGTCA